ATATCACTTTTTACCAAAAATTACAAAAATATTCACCAAAATTAGAGAACTAAAGATATCATTACAAAATGAACAAATCTGAGAGAGATCCACATGTAGTACCTATATATGTAATATCAAAGCAATTGGACTTGCGGTTTTGAACAAGAAGTCGAAAATATCACTTTTTACCAAAAATTACAAAAATATTCACCAAAATTAGAGAATTGAAGATATGATCATGAAATGAACAAATCTGAGAGAGGTCTACCCAAGGTACATATACACCAAGTATCAAAGCATTCAGGCTTGTAGTTTTCAAGAAGAAGTCGAAAAAGTAAAACACGGACGACGGACGGCGACGGACAATCACTCATATGATAAACTCCGCTCGACAAAGTCGACAGCGGAGCTAAAAATACATTATTAAGGTTTGGTAACCTCTCAGTTTGTACTAGTTGGTGTGCACAACAGTCAAAATTGCCATCTTTGTTTATATGAGACCCATATCTCACACATGCGCGGTTCGACTATTACTCTTTAATATTGAGAAAAAAAAGTGACATACCTTCCAAGCATCATCATCGGAACCACTGACGCCTTTCCACAGAATATGAAAAAGAATTTCTATCAGCATATCGCTTAGTTCCTGCATTGCATGATGGTCATCTTCCAACGTATGCATATCAGGAGGTCGATCTTGAATCACTTCCATTGACGAGTTCTGCCTTATTAACGAGCCAATACTTAATCCACTATCAACACGACGTACTAATATAGGGTCAGTGACAGCAAAGTCTAAACTGGTTGAGCTCAGCTCAGACTGGATCAAACCAGTTTCGCTACTAACAGACACATCATCTTCTTCAATGGTTTTAGCCGAATTTTCCCGAGATTCATTTTCAAAAGCCATCAAGTCCAAATTGGCAGATGAATTACTGGATTCACTTGTTTTCCTGTCTGATTTAGTATTTTCTAAAGGCTTCCAAATAAACAGTCTGCCAACAGTATCTTGCCAGCCAACTTGTTTACAGAGCTGACCAGAAGCTCCAGTCTTGGAATATATAGCGTGCAGTACATGCCTACATACTTGTAGCCTGATGGTAATATCAGAATTGTGTATTAACTGCAGTACAGCCATTATGCCAGCATAGTTCACATAGTTATCTACAATAGAATAATACACATTCAATATTCTAAATTGCTGATGAAACTTTGCTGTAAATATTCATTTTTTTCTGTCATTTTCATAAAATAATAGACTGAATCAAGTATTAAAAAATAATATTATTCATATTTTAATATTTTTTTTTTCAAATTAATCATGTAAAATAATCAATTATATGAAAACAATCAGATTAAGGAGTGGACTACTAAGGCAATTCTATCAATTCCTATTGTAGATAGTTGTTACATTTCTAAAAGTTTTCCTGCATCAACAAAATTATTTTCATTCTTGAAAACAGCACTGAATTAAATCGGAAAATTAACATTTGGATAACTTTTACATAAATTTCTGAAATCTAGAATTATAGTGAAATGTAAGTCACAAAAGGTCAGAAAATATTAAAAAAATAATAACACGTTATCGGAGCAGTCACTGGGAAATAAAATTTCAGTTTTCATTGGCTAGTGTTATTGCTACATAAGAGAATAAATATCATGTGACCTGTAGATGATAAATAGCTAGGCATGAGTGGAGTTATATAAAGTGACAGCAACAAATGGTTCATTGCAACCTTGTTGTCAGCCTCTACTTACCAGCCACTTGTTCCACGATACCAATAGCCATGCTTAGACTGATCTGCTGATTACTCATTAAAACAGTCAGACCAGAGAACCCAATATCCAGCAGTCTCAGCCGTGTCTTGCTCTTCTCATACACTCTATCTGTTCTTGTCATCACAGAAAACAACTGAGGACACAAATAATCAATAGACAATCAATCTAATTAAAATCCGATGTTCATAGAAAATGTTGATTCTAGTTAATAATCATATTGCATCTGACCAGTTGTTGAGTTTCAAGTTTCCTGCATACATTGCATCTAACTACTGTAAATGATGTTTAAATAGCTACATGTTATTTTGGGGAATTTGACTCCATGTATGAATTAACTGACTCAGAGTGTTAATTTAGCTAAAGTGTCAACAATCTCATTGTGAGAATATACTTCATTTTAAATTAATGACATCTTGAATTAGCGAAATTACAAATTAGCTAAATTAGCTAAAATAACATGCTAGCTAAAAAGACATGTTTTACAGTATATCTGACCAATCAATGAGTTTTGACAAGTGTGTTCCTTGGTTGCTATGTTACTGAGTGTGCTCATTACAGAAGGCAGGAGAGGGCAGTTTTCTATCTATTTGCTAGACAGTAAGCCTCAGTTTTCACAAATTGCATTCAGACAGTTCTCCTCTGATGAGATTTGTCAACCAATTAGAGCATGGCTACCAAGAAAGCAGTATGTATTAACTCAAGTTCTGATTGGTTGTCTATCTTACAAGGTTTGAATGGGATTAGCCGAGGCAAATTGTCAGATGCAGCAAGAAGTGAGGTAAGCACAACGTACAAGTGCCACATTTAGTGCCACATAGCCACATTTTATTCTCATCTTGATCATGCAATGTTGCATTCTGGGTAAGGCACTGCAGAGACACAGTATATGTTGTCATAGGAACCACATGTTTAAGACCCACTTCAGAATACATGACCACATGCACTATCCAGGCATCAAGCAGTCTTGTCTGACCACACCACAGATGAACCAGATGATGGCCTGGGCTTATACTTACCCGAAATACTTTCAGCTTCACTGTTTCAGAGTACTCCTTTTTCGCAATGATAGTGTACAACAAATCAGCACATCCTTGCTCATACAGCAATAAAAACAGTTGATCCTTACCCGGACTCTCTAATAAGGAAATCAACATTTCAATCACCTCAATGATCTGAAATATACAACAGTTAACCTTTTCACTGAATGTTGCAATAAGTTATGTCTTTTCTCTGAGAAATTGCTGAAATATAATAGTAGAACACTTGTGTCTGAATTCATAACTTCTAAATTGTTGTTAAGCAATAGAGGATGTACTGGTAATATCTTCACAAAAATTAATTTGCCTGTAATATTCAAGATACTGGTGGTCACCAATCTGGGTAGCATTGAATATTTGATTGAAAATGCAATATATATAAACAATGAAACAACAAATAAATGTGAGACAAAATTGAAAAATAACATACATACATATAAATAAAATAAAATTTATACTTGATCCAAAGTTATTAATTAATTTATCAACCATAACAAATTATTTTTTCTTAGAAATTTTCTCTGCGGATTCATAAATTGGTCAGTTTGATGGACAATCCACAAAACTGTAGTCAAAGCATACCAAGTATATGACATATATATAATCAGATCATCATACTCATGGTGAGTCTTTGGCTGTATCAATTATTTTGTCTCGGTACATGAGAAACAGTAATAATAACATTGGAACAAGCAGAGTCTCTATACTAATAACAAACTGCAAATAACCAATAGTAACTAACCAATACTAAGGGTAACCAATACTAACCACTACTATGGAAATTATAAAGAGGAAGATAGTATATGCCAATCAATATATATTTAAAGACACCATTTCTTACTATTACACCAGATTGTTAGATGATAGAATGAAATGCTGAACTATGACTATGTGTGGATGTAAACCTATCCAGTACAAAACTTTCAATGTTACTCTTTTAGATACTTGTCTGCACCAGATTTATCCATGTATTATATGGGACTTTTCACTGATTGTTGTATATGCCTATGTATAGCTTCTAAAATCAGACATTCTGTCACTTGCTTGGGAATACCATTCATTATCATCTGAGCACCTGTGATGTCAACAGTATCCTATTGTATTAGCTGCAGCAATATTTGTCATATTTGATCCACACTACGCTTTTTCTTTTGGCCCTAGTGTTATTTTTTTTTTATCCCTGTGTTATTTTTGAACACAGGTCATAAAATCCCTTTTTCTGCAACCTTATGGTCAGTTTTTTAATTTTTGTGCAAGTGCCCACACAATAAAGATGTCATATATGGCTAAAAACTTGTGGTATTTTTTGAAGCAATATTGATATTTTTCCCTCACATTTCACATTTCAAAAAAAAATAACAACACTGCTTCTCTCAATCCCACGTTATATCCCGTATTAGCCAAAAAATAACCTCTGAATATAATGGGATGTTAAATTAATGAACAATGTTTTTGAACTTCCTGACAACAGAGAAATAGTTTTTGATACAAAGAGGATTTATAACACTTGAGTCCTTTCTTTCTCTCAGTACAGGTTTTTTTTCAATTCTTCAATTGAACTAGAAAAAGACAATCTTTGAATTCACCCCCCCCCCCCCTCTAAGCATATTAGTAGCGCCCTCACAGTATTAATTAGTATAGCAAGCGTTCTATAATGACAATGGTTCATGGTACGTTTCAGCATATGATAGTTAGATGCATGTGTTTTGGTGTCTACAAACTTACCACAGACGACCATCGCAAAGGTCCAGAGAGTTTACACTGTAAATAATACAATTATTAAATAAATAATCAAACGGGACATCAATTAGAAAATATTATGTGTTTAAAAAATTTATATTCAGTACATTATATTACATTAGGTGCTATTATTGAATGTACATTTCATCTTTCTCATGTAATAATGTGCTGAGGTTCGCTACCTTGCTTTGTGTTAGCAACAGTTTGTTTATCGTATATCATCTTTAAGACCTTGGCACCAAAGTCTAGGCTTTATTATTGTTAGTAAATGTTATATTTTATATTTTACAATATTTATATATTATGTCATTTTTTAAAGATTTAATTCAGAGTATTTAATAAATCATCAAATTTCCAGTTATTACTGACAGAGAAAGTATGGAAAGTATATTTTCACTAAATGTTCAGTAACCATCAAATGTGCACAGTGCATCATGGGTAAAATAGTGAGAAAATAGTGAGTCATGTGACCCCCCCGCCCCGCCCCGCCCCACCTTTAGACAACTGCAGGTACATTGTCTTCACTTCCTGTCATTGCAAATTAAAACAAGGATGTATGCAGTAACACTATCGACTACAGATAAACATCCACTACACATACCATGAACCAGAATCAAAATAAATAATGAGAAATTTATTTCATTTACTAGATTCTAATACATGTAGCAGTACAATGCAATCTATAGTACTAACATTGAGACAAGAGTACCCATGGCTGCCACAAAGTTTATTCAAATTAACTTTTACATTTTGTACTGATCTACGTCATGCAATGAAAGCAAGTAATCAAACAGTGCACATACTATGACCATTCAAGAAATCACAATCTCTCAGAAACTAAACTTCAATATTTGCATAATTATGCAACTATCCATTGAATGACAAGCTAGCATTTGAAATTCTATGAATATTCATAATATAATGACCAATCATCAGCATGTATATTAACCAAATTTGCATAATGATGATGCCAATGAAATGGCAATCTACCGTAGTAGCATGAACTTTCACAGAATACCGGTAATGAACTAATCATAATACACAACAATTTGCATATATCAGACCAATGAAATGGCGTTTTAAGTATCATGAATATTCATAAGATATTGAACCAACCATAATACACTGCTTCATTTGCATATTCATAATGGAAGACCAATAAAATGGCATTATAAGTATTATGGAATATTCTTAACCAATCTAATACACTGCACCTGTATTTGCAAATTTATAATAGAACCAATGAAATGGCATTCTAGGTATTATGAATATTCATAAGTTATTGGACCAATCATATATCATGTAACATACCAATGAATCTTCAGTAGCTGCCGTGAGAAAACTAATTATACAAGACACTTCTTCAAATTCAATTCCTTTAGAAACGTAATACTTTATAAGACCCAGCAGAGACACTCTAATGGACCGAGCATCTTCTGGTGATAAACCAGGATCAGGAAAACTTTAATAGAAAAGGAATCAGAATAAGACAAGCAAATAAAGAAGCATGTGTTATCATTGCATACGTCAGTTAAAAAGTTTTATTTTTTACAGATTTTCAAATAAGCATAACAAAAAATTATAAAACTTTTTTTGGTCTAGGTACAATTTAAAGTATGTATAATTTGAAGAAGTCAGTAGTAGTTACTGTTCTGACTATTTAAATACAGTGTGTCAATTTGGTTGTGATTATGTGTATTATAAAGTGTGGCCCCAATTATATTTGTTTGTAAATGACTTTTCTGTTGATCCTTTCCCCCCCAAAAACATTTCTAAGTCACATGATCTTGAAATACTGAGAATTACTGTATTTTTATATGTAATCTCATGATATTTTCTCTTAGGTTGACATCAGCATCATCATGGGAATGATGAGACATAAGTGATTACCATCACAGTTTTGTATCAATCTTAGCCGCTGGCGAGTGTGTATGCTAACGTCAATTCAGGAATAAAAATTGTGGGAGTGTATATATATTACATGCATATTTCTACTCTGAGAAACGGTGGCGCGATGAATTGGAACTACTGCTGAAATAACACAGTTTATCATTGCGCACACCTTGTATGCTAATTTTTTTTTGAAGCCATGTTTTATTTCACATGATCACTTTTTAAATGTAGCTCTTTCGTGATATTTGCTCCTAATTATTATTCCTAAGGCTTTTTTGTAATTTCAAGCGATTTTTTAAGAGGACTGAATAAAATTTTTTAAAATACACACAAAAACTTGACAAAATAAACCGTTTTTAGCACAATCTGTATCAGACTGTATATAAACTTTCAAACAGCATGCAAAATGAAACAAAGTTCCACAGTAAGTACAATGTAACGTCAATGCCACACTGTGAACATACACACAATTATGCATGTGATAGATAAAACTTAGTGAACGATGTTCTCTGCCATATCAGGAATTGTTTTGTACAAGTTGTTGTTACCTGTAATATGTCCTGAAGACATCCAACATAAATTGTACCCCATATTTCTTTCTCAGCTGTTTTCTCTGATCTTTAATAAGTGTAGACAAGTACTGTATATGACCTGCAATAATATAATAAACACCTTAAATGAAATTAAGCTATAAATGTACTAATAATGTGACTTTTATTTTATAAATCCAACAGAGAAGAAACTTGAGTGAAAGTAAAACTGAGCGGTAAACTAATACGAGTTCAAAAGGCATTATCAACTCAACAGCACATTAAACAGCGCCCTCTATCACAAGGTTTTTATATATACATGTATATATTGACTTTTTGAGCGCCATCCTTTTTTTACCAAAATTTATATGCAAATTTATATATATATATTTTTTAAATTTTTTTTTTTTTAATTTTGAACCGAATGGACATAGTTCCTCATTGAAAACGGATCTTAATCAATTGTTTTGTAAAAAAAATGGAAAAAATTGGTGTTCAAAGGTTTGAACCTAATAAACTTCCATCATTCCGGCAGGAAATTCATTTTAATAAACCCTGATAATACAGGTTATATACGTACCAATTCTGACAGGAAATTCACTTTTACTCCAAATTCTAAAATCAAACAGGATGTACTGATAGATAATTTGTAATAAGTTTGGCACACTGGTTCCGATACATTCCACCAATAGCTGTACTGCCATGAGTACATTCACATCAATCAAGCTGGCATTAAGCTGATGGCAAAGAAAACAAATATTTAATAATAACTTCATGATTGGTGTCAAATATTCACAAGTTTAGCTATGCATGGGTATGTACTGTAAAACATGTTGAAATAGCGGCATGCAATTTTAGCGAATTGTGGTAAAATGACGTAATAGCGAAATGTTGATTTAGCAAATCACTCTTGTCATAGTTGATATCTTTGTTCGGCGGCCATTTTGAATTGATAATAAAGTCATTAGCGACATCTTGAAATAGCGAATCAGTTCTCTCGCTAAATTCACGAAAAAGACATGCTCGCGAAAAAGACATGTTTTACAGTATGTTAAAGATTATATTCCACATATTAACAATACATCTACATTAATTTTATTTTTGATCATATTTGGTATAATAAAAAGCAGAGGATGCTTGAATAGGTTTGACTGTGTAAATGAAAATGAACCAGGTTATGGCTGTATTAAAAAATGAAAAAAAAAAAAAAGTACCGGTAATACTGTACACACTCTTTGAATAAGCAAAGCCTGTAATGAACACTACCCTGATGTCCACAGACCAATTCAATTGCATTTTCAAGTTATTGCAGTTTGTCTTGCTATTTTGTGACAATCTTATAATTTGTATGCAATGGGCTTCTTATCACTTACTATAATACAGGCTATAGCATATCCTTATACTGTGGAATACTTTATTTTCGCTGGAATTAATTTTCGCTGAAAAGGCTTTTTGGGCATTTTGTAGGGAATTTATTTTCACTGATTTTTGATGAGTTTAATGTGAAATATAGGAAAAAAGATATATTCGCTGGATTTTATTTTCACGGAAACATCCCTTCAGCGAAAATAGCCAAAATAAATTCCAAGCGAAAATAAAGTATTCTACAGTAATTCCTGGCTTGTAAAACATACACATTGAACAACATGACAATTCTGTGATTGATCTATCAGCAGCTAGACCTAATGCAAGAAACTTGATTGAGGAGAAGTCACCAAAATCATTTACAGAGTGTGATCAATAATACCAGTGGAATACAAATTCATTTAGCTTTATTGCAATTGTAATTTTAGTACCGATATACCTAAAATGTATGCTTGTTTTGCTATTACTAGTATGTGATATAATCTCGTAATTTGTCTGCAGCGTGATCTCCAACTCATAATCACACACTCTATAAATCCACGCTTATACCCATGTGGATTGTTAAATTGATTAAAATCATGTCAAACCTTGAAAACAGGGCTTTTACCGGTATGTCAGCATGTGCTTCTAATACAGCAAATATGGATATATGTACCGGTATAACATTTAAATGCACTTTTAAAGATTCTCACAGAAAGGTTTATAATTAGTTTACTTGTCAGTTTACATTGTAAGTATGTGACAGATATTTTCCTAATAATAAGCGCTTGCTATGTGATGACTCACCCGCTGCATAAGAGCTCCAATTGTAGCTATTTCATACGTTCTTGTTAGCCTTTCCTGGTTGTCTGTGTTTCCCCTGCACATGTGTCTTAATAGAGTTAGAAAGCTAGCAACAGGATTCTGTTCTAGTTTGGCATCTACAGAGAGACACAGTTACATGTATTAGAAACACTCACTCTATTGCGTGGGTTTTAAATGTATAAACACACAGATTGGACAGCGTTAAGTAAATTGCACTTGTGCCCAAGTGTAATTTACAAGACTACATTGTATGACCATATAAGTACAAAAAATTGTGCACTTTAGCTCATGAAAAATTCAATTCATTTTCAGTAGTTTGTTGTATACAATCACTAACAGAACATGCTCTAAGGTGAGGTGAGAATTCCACATCAATCACACAGGATGTGCATAAAATTATTGTTAAAAAAAGCATTTTTTTATGTGTATACATATTGGTTGGCAAAGGGATTTGAACTTTCCTTTCAATTTATGGAATAAATTAGAGATATTAAATATAATAGCTCTTTTTTTTAACACTGAACTACTTGTGCACATAGCTGCTCAAATGAACTAATGAACTAAAACTACCGTATTTATCCGGGTAAGAGCCCATTTCCGTGCAAATGCCCAACCCCCAATTTTGATACTATAAAGGAATTGAGATCACGCATACCCCCAGGGGGTCATTTTCTACACTTGTAATTAAAAATAACAAAAATCTCAGCAAGTTTACAAAAATGTATATTAAAACAGTTCTCTTTATGAAATTTTGAATTTAAAAATTATTATTGATTTTGTATGACAGTTGATACATAATTTGTCGAAACTGGAAATAATTTTACGGAGTTTAACCCCTGACATTTTAGTTCATTTTGAGTTCATGCGTATTGGGCGTGTTTGTCAGCGGGGAAGTCCTAATTCAAATGACTCCTCATTGTCAATTTTTATTATTTCTGCTTCATTTGCCACATGCCACATAAGCAATATAATATTTTTGTTTTACTTCATATTGTTCATTTATTTCCGTTGCATGTTTTCATTTGCATTCTATTCCCTGCCGCAGTCACTTGCAGACGACTTGGGTGTGAATCGGGGTGTCGTACTTAGCAGAGCAGCCGCTTCGCTGCGATCTATTGAAAGTAAGCCTCAAAGACCCGTTGGATAAGCAATAAAATATTTTTGTTATACTTCTAATGTTGCATATTGTTCATTTATTTCCGTTGCATGTTTTTATTTGCATTCTATTCCCTGCCGCAGTTTGATCGATGTGTTGTCAATTTTCACAAATTTCAGTGTTTTTTTGCAGGGGATAGGCCCACCCTATTTTTTGGTAATTTCCCATGTTCCCATACCCGGATAAATGTGATATACTGTAAAATGACTAATTTTCACTGGGTTTAAATTTCACTGATTTACCATTTCAGGCATATTCAGTGGATTTTAAATTCACGGTTTTGTTATTTAGATAATGTGTTCTATGCTCAATTTTACATATTCACTGGGTCTTAATTTAGCGCATTTTCCACTCAGCGAAATAAGCTAAATTAAAACCCAGTGAATAATTAACCCCTTTACAGTATTCATCAATCTTAAACTTGATCATGACACAATACGTCCAATAACATCCTTGCATACTGTGTTTGGACATACTAAAGCAATGAACATTTGAGAAGTTTTAAAATTAAAAACTATTTATAAAATCCGACTCACCAAGGTAATAAGTCTTTGGCACAACAATCCAATCATTCTCACTATCCTGCGAATCTTGCGCTGTTAAATTTTCTTTATTAACACCATTGTTGTCATCGCTGAGTTTGTTAAAGTTCATGTATTCCGGGGTTGACAATTCCAGTAAAGGGAAGAGAACTTGTATCCCACCGATATTATTGATTACTTCCTGTAAAGATGAATAGAATGGTCTTGATGTTTAAGTGAACTTTTCTCAATTATCGATTATAAAAATTCGCCGCGATAGGCTGAAAGACAACGTTTTGTGATTGCAATCAGTATTCATAATGTAGAGTTAATTTTAACTCACTACTGAAAAACACATGTCAACAGATTAACCCAGTGTCAGAAGACAGGTCTTGACCCTAAGTCTGTGTTTAACCCTGAGATGAGACGCATGTGAACAACGTTCTAAGTGAAAACAACGCCCTCTAATGGCATTCCAATGGTAGGTGAATGAGGTGTGAATTACAACAATGCTTGTAAAAATGTATGTGTAACAAATATGAGTACAGAAATAAATTATTATAACCAGGAAAGCCAAGCTATAATAATATAAATCACTGTGACATACAAACAGGATGCTAGTTTGCCACTGATAAGAAATATTTACAAAGCGATCTAGCCCTCCATTTGTCAAAATATGTAAACAATGTATAAGTTTGCTGTAATACAGGTGATTCAGAACAAGGTGTGAAAGAAACCATTTTATAAAAGGGGAATGGTCTTACCTTGATATCCCAAGTGACACACTTATGCCCAGTAAGTCTACCATCATACAAGTGATTTGGAGCAAGGTCTAGACAAACAAAGTCTTTACAAGCCTTGGCATTGTAATAAAGTACTAATTTCTGAGACAAAGATTGTTCAGAGATATCACCAGATTCTGACTGGAACAGCAGTAAATGATTTGGACCTGGAAAAAGATAGTAATAAAGTTTGAATTATAAACAAATGACCTGACGGTCGAAATAGCTCCACTGTCTTCATTATCATGGAACAAGCAGTAAAGTGGGATTATGCTATTATATATTCAAAGTATACTTTAAAGTTGTATTATGTTTTATATTTAGTTGAAAGTCCTCTGTAAATAAGGGCTTACGATTTTGAACTAGTTGTCAAAAATAAATTTTTTTACCAAAAACGAGAAAAATGTTCACTAAAAATCCAAATTTGCATATTTTGAGACAAATTTAACAAATCTGACAGTGGACCACCCCAAGTACCTTTGGTACAAATTTGAATGTAATTGGTCAAGTACTTATGAAGAAGAAGTCGTTTAAAAGAAAACTTCACGCGGGACGGACGACGCCGGAGAGACCCCCATACCAACAGCTCCGCTGGGTCATCTGCGATGACAGCGGAGCTAAAAACAAGTCATATCATGACAGGATAGAGTCCCTGTTGAAAATTACATGCATAAGACGTATGTTTCCCAAGTGCGAAATAGAACATAAACAGAACTAACAAAAATCATAGCAACATAGTGGTATCAAAAGATCTAGTGGGATTCGACAAATTAGATTATTCTGTAAAGATCAGTATTTGGACACTGAACTATAAAAAATTCAAATTTTAGGGCAGACATTAGACCAGTACACATTTCACAAATTTTTACAGTTAATAGAAAAACTCCTATTTACGTGTACAATATAAAAATGCCACCTACATGTACTGTAAAATACTTTATTTTAGCTAGAAATATTTTTCCCTGAAAAGAATTTTGGGTGTTTTGTATGTAATTTATTTTCACTGATTTTGAAAAGTTGAAATGTAAAATATGGGAAAAAAGGTATATTCACTGGATTTTATTTTCATTGAATCATACCTTCCGCGAAAATTAATTACAAGAGAAAATAAAGTATTTTACAGTGTCTATTATGACCAGTGACTGCCAGTTTGGCAATAATTTTATCAAATATACCTTTGTATAAAAACTAAAATTACAGAATATAATTATGGTACATGTGTTACCTTGGGTGGTCAATATACACAGGCTTGACTGTACTAAACTGCAGAATGATACACAGAAAATCACATTGAATACTTAAAGACGTACCTTGCTGACAAAGATATTTGATATGTGATGGATTGAGAGCTTCATGGAAGACGCAAACGCTACCCATCTGTCCCTGCAGAGAGCATGGCACTCCCCAATCACCATCTTGTGATCCAGCCGCTGTACTAATAACCAGAGCTTCTTGGAAGGAACCACGTGGAGATAGGGGGACAGGTAGATTGAATGGAAAGGAGGTGACTGGCTGCACTAATGTTGGTGATAGTGGTGATTCCGGTGGGTAGCGAGGTACATTTGTACGATGTCCTCCGGATCCTATTCTACATAATGTAAATGCCTGCCAAGGAAATGAACAGGTACAAAGTGAAATGCATGTAATATGGTAAAACAAGTTTGAACTATTTATCATCTGAATAGGGAGGGGGTAACTCTAAAGTTTACAGAGGGGATACCAAATATTATTATTATAGCTATGTAACGTATGCAGTCAAAACATCAAGTGGGATTTGATGTATTTTGTGGGTATTTTCACGCTTTTTAATGCGCTATATAGATTTGATGATAGTCAATTTCAAAAAAGGTAGTATCTAGACAAATTATCCTCTCTCTCACATTATTGAGCTATAAAATAGAATTGAAATTCTGAATCAAATTGTTTGATTTTTGCCGCAGATGTTCTGTCTGCGATATGCAAAATCTCGTAGTTAGCAATAAAGCACCTATTAGAATTTACAATAAAAACAAGAATAACTTACTTCATTCATTGCAGGAAATTTGAGCTGAGTAGTGAGTACCATACAACCATCTATGAACACAGATACTTGACTTTGACCAAAAGGTCTTTTACCACTAGAATGTACTATATCTAATGCATGCTGAAATAATCATACAAACTAAGTCAGATTGAGTGGGAATAAAATCATAGCTTATAATGGTAGTATACAAATAGCGCCCTCAAGTGATGGTCCAGGAGTGCTTCTGAGATGTCAAAATGATGTACATTGTACAACTAAACAAAACTTGGAACAGAAAGTTGAAATAGTTCAGAAACTTAAAGATCTATCAGATAAATTAGTGACCAACAAGCTACTACAACATTACACAATTTATTTATTATTTAATTAATTAATTTTATTTATTTGTTTGTTAGTTTGTTGATGTTTTTTTGTTTATTTATTACAGATCTCATGAGAGAAGGAGAAATTGAATGCTTGGTATTTTTCAACAAAACAACAACAATTATCTTGCTTTTATCTGGAATTCAACAATATCCACTTATGTGAGTGTTAAAATTGTGTTGGAAAATATATTTTTTTTTAAATGGGTAACATCTTTTGGAGAGGAAGAGCAAAACCTTTCACGAGGGTGGCAAGATTTATTAGTTCACATATTTCATATATTATAAATGAAGAAAAATATTGATGATAAAATACTGACCCACTGATTGTCTGTGAATGGATGGTCTACGACGGCCACTGTGAAATATTCCTTTTTTGTACACATTGCTATCACAAGAATACATTCCATGGTGAAGAATGCTTCAAAACCAGTACCACTGTCTGTGAAAAAGCTGCAAAAATAAACAAAGAAGATTTTAAAATAAGTCAATAGCAGTGGATTTTTATGAGTACCTCAATTTTATATTCCATATACATATTACAAGTTCACAGACGATTACAAACAAGTGTCCCCATTGCAACAACCAGAAAAAAAAAATAATATTTCTAATTCAGTACTACCATAGACTCTGTAGAGTCCATGAGTTGATACTTTATCATTGATAAAACCTTTATATTTGTTCTATTACATGATGTACTGAATAAAGTAAATGCTTTGTTATTGAATGGTTGTACAGGTATGACCCTTTCTGGAGTCAAATATTATTGATTAATTCATGAATGATGAAAGTGAAAAATTGTAATACTAGCTATTTGTTATATACATGTATAATCAAAATATTATCAACCAGTTGCATTTAAGTTTATATCATTTTAGGGTGTCATCATAACGCATGGAAGATAAGATTCTCTGGTCAATGATCAAAGATGGACTATATTACAAACACAATATTCGGTGTGACGCATTTTAACGCAAGTTAAAATTTGTTTTAGCATAGACCTTCTATTTTATGGTTTGAGATGCAAACCAGACTTGAGTTGTTTCTTGAAAAGCCATTACCTCTTTCCCTTTTGAATTCATAGAATAACTTTTTAAACTAACGATGAGATGTATTGTAGTGAAGGTAATAATCAATATATGTCAGGTTTTGATGATAAGTATAACTTTTTCCCCCCAGATTTGATTTTTGGCAAAGTTACTTAAAATCAACAGAGCAATCAAATAACGTTTGCTAACAATAGAACTTTGAAATCAAGAAATGAGTTACCCGTGTCTAAAAGTCATCAGAAATACTACCTGTCATAAACTATTATGTTAAGAAATAGAAGACTGGCTTACCTGTATAACTGTCTGCGACATAGACCAGTGTCAAATGACTGTGGGGTAATGGGGTTGGAATCCAGATTGATCCAAGTGTGGTAAGTAAATCCATGACCTGGCCATTTAGGAATACCAGGTATAGATATACCCTAAAATAACAATAGATTAAGGTTAGGATTCAACTGAATTAAAGTGACATAAGTTTCCTGTCAAAGTCATGCTTTAGATGTCATGCAATAGGTATTAAGGCGAGTGATGACATTCTCAGATTGAGTTCAATTTTGTCAACATAAGTGACATGATACAAAGTGGAGCCAGTTTATTTGTTTTATTTTGCCCATGACATTCATTATTGCAATTTGTCTCAAGATTCACTTCATATCCAGGGTTTATTTATTCTCTACTTACAGCCGTATTATGTTGAAAGTCAAAATAATGAAGCGGTCCATCTTGGTCTTCTCGTCTAGCCATTACTGACATAACATGCATTAATTTACCACATAGCATTGATAAAGCATTGTCTTCTTTACCACGCAATAAACCAATCAGCTTTTTGAATTCTCTAGCGGTAATACTATGTATTCCGAGATACTCTAGTAAACCACACAGGTGCTCTGAAACAGAGAATAAATTTACTTACCATAGGTGCAGGGTTATCCCAAGGGCTTATTTTTAGTTTTTCAATAAGCAATGGAGCCATTGCAGCATTACAATGAACACAATTGAGGCAATCAACATGTGATATTGTTATACAAAATAGCCGATACTCTATGCAATTTTTCTGGGGAGAACAATGAAGATATATTTTAGATTTATATTACCGGTAGCAGGTGTTTATTGTCCCTGAATACTGCACCCTAAGGTTACATTGTTGTTTCCATGGAAACAACTTTGGGTACACCCATTTTTTATTTGCTCTTTGTCTTTTATTTGATGGAATCTTGCACTCGGTGCATATCAAGAATCTGTAGTCTTCTACAATTTCCACATTTAAGTGATCATACTTGAATGGGTTTTACTTTCCCAAATCTGGTTTAATTAGCAAAAACTTTATAAATAAAGAAATCTACAGTACTAATTACCTAAGGCTTTGTTGTTGATATTCTCAGCTTTTCCAAGTACATCTAAAATAGCAGTAATCATGCGCACATTACAACTATGCATTCTGTTATGAGTGCTAAAGGTACAGATGAATTTCAATGACTCAGCCAACCATGTCTGCATTTCAGGGTCTTCAATGGCTGGAATCCATCGCAGTAACAGCAAAGCAACTTTACTGTTTGGTAGACTTGGTTTCAGTTTTTTACTGAATTGAGCTTCAACAACCTGAAATAATTGCAATGAATACATCAAGAATTAGGATATTTTTAGCAAACATTGTAAGAGCAATTTCAAGTAATTTTTAAGTTATTTTCCAGTAATTTTAATTAAATTTCAGGTTATTACCAAGTACATTAAGTACTTTTTAAGTTATTTTCCAGTAATCTTAATTAATTTTCAGGTTATTACCAAGTACAATAAGTACTTTTTAAGTTATTTTCCAGTAATTTTAATTAATTTTCAGGCTATTACCAAGTACATTTCTTAAGTACTTTTTAAGTTATTTTCAAGTAATTTTAATTAAATTTCAGGTTATTACCAAGTACATTTCATAAGTACTTTTCAAGTAATTTTAATTAAATATCAGGTTATTACCAAGTACATTTCATAAGTACTTTTTAAGTTATTTTCAAGTAATTTTAATTAATTTTCAGGTTATTACCAAGTACATTTCATAAATACTTTCACAGTAACTTACAAGTAATTAACAAGTTATTGTCCAGTATTTTTTAAGTAATTTTCAGCAATAAAACAAATATCATAACAACTGTTTCACTGGCATTGCCAACTTTCGGCATAATTATGAAAATGAAAAAAATTATATTTCTTTAACGTGGCAAAATCTGCAATTGATCCAAAGTAATTACCGGGGTACATGTACTGCATTAAACAGAAGAACATTGGTGATGGTAGTGGTTAAAGTTTTTGTCCCACATCACAGAGGTGCTGACTCAGCAGTACAAATCAGAGTAGGTTAGGGGGACTGATTCACACATGAACTTGCAATTAGCACCAAAGTCAGGAGAGAAAGTTTGAATATTTGGTACAAAATCAACTCAACATGTGACATAAAGATATAATTCCTAATTGGCTTCGATTTGAATCATACATGTATGTCTCGCTAATAGTTGCATGTTGTTACTTATTTTTTTTTATCAGTCATTTGTTTTGTTGATCGTTTTTGGACACGATACTTACCATGTCTAGGAGAGCCTGAAGCAGTTCTCTGCTCGGTTGTCCCAGACCCTTGAGTCCTTCACTGAGTTTCAAATAGCCATAGTTGTCCTTGAACGTCTCCTTAGCAGCCACAGATCCTGTCATCAAAGCTGACAAGGCTTTTACAATAAGAACACCAAACACCTGTCTATCATATTCACCTGCATTCTTTTAAGAAAAATAAAGTATTATAATATTACTAATATGGCATGAAGATTTGTACAGTAGTGAACTGTATACATCAATTACTTTGACTATGAATTATTTGGGAAAATTACTGTTACTGTAACAGTGTGCTTTATTCATAATTTCAAACAGAAAACCGAAAGACTCAAATGCGGAACAAGTTTTATTTCCTGTCAATAAAAAGAAACTTCAAGTTCAAGGTGGATTGATAGCATCTGCATGTGACCATTTCCTGTAAGGTGACTGAACTGCCCTATATATGAAAACATCAAAATCTTGTTGAGAAATGTCTGGTGGGTTAACTAAGAAAAGGATTAGTATGCAAAATTCAAAATCCTGAACATGTATAAGATTTTGTTTCCAAGAAAGAACTTTGCAATCAACATATGACAGGGTCAGTTTCATATCTTGCATAAGTATCTATGATCTTCCATATTGCCAAAGAATTGACATTATTCTGTCTAACCATAGAACCTGGTGAATACAGGTACATGTAGTAGTAAACTAAACTATACTAAATCTTTTTTTTAAATGCCTTTTGTGATTCACACATGAACACATCAGTATACAATCCAATAATTATTAATTATATTTTCAATTGATGAATTTGAAAAAACAAAACTTCACCATGCACACAAAACAATATGAACAGTTAAACTTGAAAGTTTTGAACAAATTTGATAATATTTTTTTCAAAAATGTTTGGTACAGATGATTGGTTCCAGAACGAATACATAATTTAATAGAACACATTAGGAGATATTGTACAGAACATTATTTTTTTTTTCCTTTGATGTTTGCTACAACTACAGGTTTCTGTACTCTCTCTATAGTACCAGGTTAGCTTGCAGTAAAATTATTATATCCATACCTTTGCATTGTCTAGAACTCCCATGATATACCTAAATGTATCCACCCCCAATAAGATGGCCTGCAAGGCTGCTTTATCTCTGCACTCCAACATAGCAGGCAATGAACCTGAAAAAAAAAATCAATATTAAATGAAACATAAATCAATAGAAGAAATAATACATGGAACATCTGCAAACAATTGAATTAATATGTACTCTACTTTCATTGACTCGGGTCCAAAATCTCAGAGTACACAAGTGCAACCAAACTATATCTCATACATGCTCAAGAAACTGCATTTAAATCTGAGTAAACCTTGGTGTACCTTTAATAACAACTTGCCTTCTTTGTTAATTCAGGTCTTTGTATATTACCAGGACCTGGGTTTGTTTAATTATCACCACTATAATTCCCATAAAAATGTAGCCCTCACACCCCTCAACATTTTCCACTGAGATTTGTAATGGTACGATCCATCTGTCACTGATTCAGATCAAGGTCATGACATGACATCACTAAAAACCTGAGCATTACAACCTAAGCTAATTATTTATTCTGAGCATGCTCAGTTGCTCTGTCAGTGCAGTCGGGAGAGGTAATTTTGGATGAAAATTTTGAAAAAGACCCACTTAGAAAATTACGTGCATACTCGGCAGAGACTTGTTCATCAACCTGCCAAGTTTCATCGATATCTGCTGCAGAAATGTAAATGTTGGAGGTGGAAACGGAAAATGGACATTGACAAAATGTGTGTATTATACTGCTGCGCCTGAACGGGGACTAATTACTGAATTACATATTTAGTATTATATTTGTATAAACTTTATTAACCCTTTGAGCACCAATTTGTTCACATTTTCTGAAATTTTCACTGAATTCAATCGTAATTTTGAACCAAACAGACAAAATGTGACATTAAATCTAGTTTTTGATCAAAAAATTTGATATTCTCACAACAATTTATGTTGAAAACGAGCTGACTATAAATGATAATATTTTGAGGATGGTGCCTGCGGACCGTGTACTAGTATGAGTATGTACAACTCACCCAACATAGAATGCTGTAGTTCTATACTTTTATGTTTGCCATCTTTATCAGCAAGCACCATTAAGAAGATATCAACAACAGTACTCACGTCAACTTGTCTCTGAAATAAAATAAAATCAGATACATTTTTGTAAGTCCCATAAATATTGAAACGACACTGTCATCAGAACAGTACATGTGTGTATTATACTGTTCTATCATTGTGTTTTATGTTATTGGGTTGGTCTTTTCCTACATTGTGCGTACAGCATGCTATGCGTAGTTCAAAACATAAAGAATGCTAATGGTCGTTACTGCAATAACAAAAAAAATTGAACTAATGATGAAGTACACATAAACTTGACAATTGTTTGAATTTATATCATGTCTGTGAATGTACTACTTGTTTTCTAACAGACATGTGAAAGTTCATTGTTGCATGTGACCTGTCATCTTTGCCAGTTCATCAATTCAGTCATCATCAATTCAGTCATCATCAATTCAGTCATCATCAATTCAGTCATCGCGTCACAATTTTACATTGGAAGAATTCCACTATGAACCTTTATTTCTTGATGACAAAATAAATCACAAAGATGCACGTTTTTGTGAATTTCCAGTGGTAAATGAAACAGTCAGTTAAGCTATGACTCAATATAAGACGACAAAATCTATTGGTTCAAATTTGAAATTGATTGGAGTTGTTGTTACAGGAATGCTGATTGATGAATCCAACTCCTTAGTGCAGCCAATCAAATCATTCAGTTTAGACCAAATACAGCCTTTCCTAATACGATCACGTACTGGTATGTAGGGACGGCCATAAATGTTCGGCTTCATTGAAATTGGGTGCTGCCTCCCAATGCACATGTGCATTTATGAGAAAAGTTACGACTTTAAGGAGGCGTATATACAAAATTAAAAGATTCTAGAACCCACCTTATCAGGGCTGCAGACATGTATAACATGTATCATACGATTCACACATTTCAGTGCTAACTCTACCACTTCATTTTTAGCTGGCAAGTTCTGAGTCACGCCCTTTGAGCTGATAAACTTGAACAGTGTATCTACAGTAAAGGGGTTGATGGCCTTCAGGGCGTTCACCTGCATTCCTGACATGATGGCCCCGAACATGTGTAATAAATGGCATTGTTGGCGAGAGGTTAAACACCAAGATTCTTCTTCAGTCAGACTCTCTGCAATAAACAATATGTATAAGACTGGTATTTCTTTCTCAGTCTGCTCTTTTCTGCTCATAGCTTGTTTGTTTTAAGCTGAAATTTGCTAAATTTTGTGTGTTCATTTAAAAATTAATGTTGAATTTTGATGTCAGCCCAATTTTCTCAAATTCACAAAAATGTTCCTTGGCAGTTTCAAATACGGAGGAAAAATCACAAACTTGTAAATTCTTTGAACAATTTTTTACTAAAGAACTCCATCCTTACCCCTTTCAGTGCCATTATCAACATGTAACAAATGATTTTATAGTATACTCCTTTTTACACTAAATGTTGATAAGAAATTAAAAGCAATATCTAAAACTGTTAATATGGTCCAAAATGATGATGAAACTTAGTGAAAATTTTACAAAATGTGAAAATATTTGCACTGAATTTTGGGTATGAAAAATATCTGGTACTAAAAACGTTAGAGAGACACTTTTGTTTATACATTGTATAATCATTTAGAATATTATAGTAAATCTACTGAAAATACTAATTTGTATTGTCATTACAAAACATCTATATACATCACAGAATTATCTGGCTGCCATGTGCATCACTGCATTTTTTTACCAAAATTTTGTCAGAATTTTAGAAAAAATCAAATCTTCATAAAAAATCAAAACACAATTTGAATAACAATTCAAAAAAACAAAAAGAAAAGTGCATACATGCACCGCTTTGGCAAACAAATAGACTAGAATAATGTTTCTTATTTTTCTGAGCCTTATAGAAATTACGGAATACCTGGAGGAAAGGTGGTGACACCTGTGCAATAACAACTAGCTATTTAACTACTGTAGAATATTTTATTTTCGCTTGGAATTTATTTTCGCTGAATGGATGATTCCGTGAAAATAAAATCCAGCGAATATACTTTTTTTCCTATATTTCACATTAAATTCATCAAAAATCAGTGAAAATAAGTTCCATACAAAACGCCCAAAAAGCCTTTTCAGCGAAAATTAATTCCAGCGAAAATAAAGTATTCCACAGTAATTTCCAAAAGTAAACAAAAATTTAAGTAAATTAGTGTTAAAATATCAATCAACAAGAATTGATTTACAAATTTCAGTGGACAGGTAGAGAACAAAATTGCTTATTTCTATATTTTTCTTTGTACATGTATTTCACTTTAAAGATGTGAAAATTTTGATTCATCTTACCATGATAGAATGTCAGGACTTCTGGTGCCAAGTAAGCAGGCTTATATTTAAATAAAGTCTTATCAACAGTGATACTGAAAAAAAACATAAAAACAAAAATGAATAAAATCAAACTCATGTGCAAACTGTTTCTGCATTGAGTCACAATCAAGAAACTGATATTTTTTAAATTGTGCATTGTAGTCATCCAAATTTCTGAATTAGACATGATGACAGATTGACTGTTTTAATAACAGAGCTTTCATGTAGTCCTCCGAAAGCCAGATGCAAACATCTGACAGGTCACATTGCCATATTGACAGGTCATGCTGCCAAATTGACAGGTCACGCTGAAAAATTGACAGGTCACGCTGACAAATTGACAGGTCACGCTGACAAATTGACAGGTCATGTTGCCAAATTGACAGGTCACGTTGCCAAATTGACAGGTCACGCTGCCAAATTGACAGGTCACGCTGACAAATTGACAGGTCACGCCGACAAATTGACAGGTCACGCCGACAAATTGACAGGTCACGCCGACAAATTGACAGGTCACGCTGCCAAATTGACAGGTCACGCTGCCAAATTGACAGGTCAGACTGCCATACTTACCAACAAAGTCTTTTTCTCCATACATGATATGGATCATACATACATTCTAATAAATGTAACAAATGTTCAAAATAGGTCACTAATGGACTGGAATCACTCGTTTCATCATTAATCTGTAATTTGAAGAAAAAAACAACATTCATTTTACTATTTGTAATATAATAAAATAGCAATGTATTATTTGTTCATATAAATATACAAAATATCATGATTGGTAGCTGAAGCAGTCTAAGCAAAATAATATAACCAATCATAAGACATTAATTAAGTAACATTAGTTGGGGTAAATTAATTAATGCAAATACTTGTGAACATATTTTACTACTGTTATACAAAACAGCTATATTTAGCAACTAAACTATTAGCCGCGTCCTGTTCAATATGGGACTCATAGCAACATATACAACACGTGTAAAATACATTGTTTATTTACATGAAATTCGAACACGTGCTGTGCGACAACCACCGCGCTTTGTTTTACGAATCACTTGTTTGACTCAACTAGACTCGAACATAAACAAGTAAAATATCAGAATCATGGCCTTACTTTGAATGTACACTTTGAACTAATCACATATTGATTGTAACATTGACTAAATATGAAGGATAAATAGAAGATTTATTGTTTCAGCATTATGTGCGGTAACAGTATTCCAAGTTGATAGTATTGAAGTGGACAGTCATATTCTAGTCACCTAAGGTCACATTGCACCAGAAGTGATGGATGTTTATTGATCAGGTATAAATCATCAAGGTATTTTCTTTGTAAACATAATCAAAGATGAAGCATAATATATTCCAAATTGTTAAAAACATAGTTAAACTCTGGTGACCTTGCCCTTTGTTATATAATATTATTTCCTTTACCATATTTGTTTCAATATGAATATGCATTGACTTAATTCATTTCGAATACAAACAAGATTTAGGAGTGGAAAAGCAGTCTACCAGAAGTCTTTGAATGATGTAAATATCTCACAAAAACATTGATGTCTAAATTTGTTGAATTATTTTAAGGGACAGATTATATTCATGGCACATATTGGGAGCAAAATATCACTTTAAAAAGGAATTATTACTCATTGTCTGTAGAAGGGGTATAAAATAATAGTCTATCGGCTTCTGATCTTGATTAAAATTTGGCACCCAACGGATTATTCATAGGAGTGCTTATATCAATTATCTGACATCTTGTTTTCTGTTAAGATAGTTTATACCAGTATATTTTATTGGTAAGTTTTCAAATGTATATTAGATTGTGCAACAACTCTCTCCATCAGTTGATATTGAAACTAAGTCAAGTATTCCCATGAAATTTACAAATACATTAACAATGGTATTGATTACAAGATAAATGATTTACTAGTACTTGAATCATTGAACACATACAGCAATGCATATACCCTCTGGAACCAGTGACCTTTGAATGTAATAGTCAACATTTTTTATCGGATTTTGACTATTACTTCCTCAATTTTTGCATATTTTCCAACAGGAGATATGTCGTTCACATTAAGAAAAGATTTTATACAGATGAATTAGGCGACCAAGTTTGATACAGTTTCGAATAGAATTAGTAAAGACATTGTATACACATTAACAAATATTAACGTCAATGACAACAACGATGATGACAGTCATTTTCCCTTAATATTCGTTTCCTTCTTTCATCTCGATGATATAAGCAAGCTGTAAAGGGAGTGGTTCTCCTGTTATTGCACAATGACTTTAATTTACAACATATACATATACTCACTGATCTAAATCATCTCATCTCATCTCAATACATTTTACTATCATTTCTTTTAGCAAGGTGGCTGATTTGTCCATGGGCAGCACACTGCATTTTATTTGCACATTCCACCCTCAAGATATAAATTATCTGCTTCGAGACTCACCTGTTTAACCACATTGGTTGCTATGGCAATGAGGTGACCTGTATGATCACATGACGCAACAAGAGGAATGTTGTCTAAATTTCTGGAACGAAAACAATAAATAGAAAACACATCAGAATATAAAGTTATGAGCATTAGGTAAGGAACATATTATGAAAAGTTTTAATGTAAGTCTAGACCTAGCCTAGAGTAAAATGAAAAACTATGCAATGCCATAATCAGCAATGGCTACTGTAAAATGACTATTTTTCACTGGGTTTAAATTTCACTGATTTACCATTTCAGGCATATTCAGTGGGTTTCAAATTCACAGTTTTATCATTTAGATAATGTATTCTATGTTAAATTCGACATATTCCCTGGGTTTTATTCAGCGCATTTTTCAGTCAGTGAAATAAGCAAAATTAAAACCCAGTGAATAATTAAGTACATTATCACATGGAATTAACTTCTCGTCTAATATTGTACAGTGTTACCATTTAAGTTCAGATTTACCACTTACCTACAAATGATTATAAGCACTTTGATGAGTAATTCAGCGTGAGAAAGACTATCCAGGTTCACATTTTCTTGGCATTGTTCTCTACATTCTATAAGCTGACATGTGATAACTTCAAGAATGCCATCCGGAAGCTTACTGATATGGGGTCCATTTGATTCAAACCTACAAAAACAAATTTTTCAAGTTTATACATGTGTACCCTGTGTACTTCCATTAGTAGCCTGTAGGCTGAAATACACAAGCAAGCGGCAATTAGGCCGGTAAATGATTGTCACAAGACTTAGTTGACAAGAGTCAATTGATCGTGGCACACCTGTCAAGACTCAGCTGGTCATGGCACACATGTCAAGACTTTCGGTCATGGCACACATGTCAAGACTCAATTGGTCATGGCACACATGTCAAGACTCAGCTGGTCATAGCACACATGTCAATATTCAATTGGTCATGGCACACATGTCAAGACTCAATTGGTCATGGCATGTAAAAACTCAATTGGTCATGGCACACATGTCAAGACTCAATTGGTCATGGCAAACATGTCAAGAACTCAATTAGTCATGGCACACATGTGAAAAACTCAATTGGGCATGGCACACAAGTCGAGACTCAATTGGGCATGGCACACATGTCAAGAACTCAATTGGTCATGGCACACATGTCAAGAACTCAATTAGTCATGACACACATGTGAAAAACCCAATTGGGCATGGCACACATGTGAAAAACCCAATTGGGCATGGCACACATGTCAAGACTCCATTGGTCATGGCACACATGTCAAGAACTCAATTAGTCATGGCACATATGGAAAGACACAATTGGGCATGGCACACATGTCAAGACTCCATTGGTCATGGTACACATGTCAAGACTCAATTGGTCATGGCCCACATGTCAAGACTCAGCTGCTCAGAGCACATATGTCAAGACTCAATTGGTCACATGGCCCACATGTCAAGACTTAATTGGTCATGGCACACATGTCAAGATTCAATTGGTCATGGCACACATGTCAAGACTCAGCTGCTCAGAGCACATATGTCAAGACTCAATTGGTCATGGCACACATGTCAAGACCCAATTGGTCATGGCACACATGTCAAGACCCAATTGGTCATGGCACACATGTCAAGACCCAATTGGTCATGGCACACATGTCAAGACCTAATTGTCATGGCACACATGTCAAGACTTAATTGGTCTTGGCACACATGTCAAGACTCAATTGGGCATGGCACACATGTCAAGACTCAATTGGGCATGGCACACATGTCAAGACTCAATTGGTCATGGCACACATGTCAAGACCTAATTGGTCATGGCACACATGTCAAGACTCAATTCGTCATAGCCCAATGTAGGTTTTCACACGAATTGGTCTATTCATGATTCCAAATGTTGATTCTTTAAATTTGCATACTTGCAAAATGTAGTGCTACAAATAGATTAGATGAATCGCATAGGGATGTGAACAAAAAGCATGTGGATGGCTTCAATACATGCACACAAATGTATGTGTGTGTCTGATACTGAGTTCGTACATGTACAATGTATGTGCAGACATGCAATGTACCGTTTAGTTGCATTTTAAAATATCTTGTATATTTTCAGATATCATATTGAAACAATGGAACTTATACCGGTGGATAACCTGGTGAATTGCAAATGTACTTGAAGCAATATGCATCTGATTTAACAGCTGAGTTCTAATGAATGAAAACACTTCAGTGTGTAATGAAGCTAGTGAAGTCAGACTTGTGGTGGTAACACGTTGCACATACTGAGTGTCAGCTTGTCTGTACCATTGTGTACATCAGCTGATACATTGTACATGTATGACGCGGCAAACCAGCTTTAATAGTCAACACACACAGGCTGTGTACTTGATAACACACATGAACACAGAACACTATAATCAGGGGCCACAATTTTGTGACAAGTAAAGATATTAAAGATAAACACTTTTTCATCGGAATACAATTCCTAGATGATATAAATACAAGACACACATATACAAAGATGTTATTTTGTTATTTAAGGTAGTTGGCTACCATTAAAATTTTGAAAATGTTTTATTCAATGCCCTTGCTCACAAAAATTCTGCTAAAAAAGTACAGTACATGTATGGTCATTGAAAAACAGGTCAAACATTCATTCAGCTAATTTTTTTCTCAGGAAAAATATCTCGTACTACAGTTGTATGTCCAAAAATTGATACTTAATTTCTAAATCATTAAATATGAATAAACTGTTTTGTATAAAAAAAATGTTGATACATTAAAAAACCAAATTGCCATGAATATTGTGTACAATACAACTACATGTACACATGTAGCTTGTCACATACTGCTATCCACTCATACAATGTACATGTACAACACAAGAAATCAATTTAATACATGTATCACAAAATCTCAGTTGCTCATTTAAGTATCGCACAGCTACAGTTGTTAATAATATTGTGTGATTTTATTTTAATACCGGTAATTCATTTTCTACCAATTTATGCACTTCTATTATCTTGTCGGACTATGTTCTCATCATTTTTTAATTGGTTTGTTTTATTCTATGATTGATTTCATATCTCTTTGCTGTGCTGTTTCAAATAAATTTACTCAATCAAGGCATTTGATCCATATACATGTACTTACATACATGTAGGACTCGAAATTATTTTCAGACAGAAAAGAAAAATTCATTATTTCTTTATTTGATTAATTTCTTACAATAAAAAAATTAATTATTAAATTATGCTTATTATATAATTTTAATTATATTTTTTTTTTTGCATAAAACACTGAAAATCAACATTTTTTATTATACCATTTCAGTATCAATTGTTCAATAATTCATGTGCACATGTTATTCTCAACAGTGGATTATCAGCAAACAATATCAGACATCAACCCTTCAAAAAACAGAGTGAACTTTTCACATTATTTTTACTCAAAATTGTTATCAAGATTTGTAGTCAATTGAAAATTAACAAAGAATTTATACAAAATGTATGAAAAATATGCAAAATGCACAACAATTTTGGTGGAAAAAGCATGGCGTTTAAAAGATAATTAATTATAGAAACAAAAAAGTAAATGAAAAATGAAACAAAATTACTATGGTTATATAATATGCATAGAATGATGTGAACCATTTGCTTTCTGATACATGTAGTGTAGTACCCTAACTGTAAACAACCTGATTAACATGTGCAGCTGTATGTAGGTTAACACAATGGAGGACACATAAATTTTAAACTACGACAGCATGTGGCATACATTTTCGTAATGGTTGTCAAGGCATGAAGTACATTTTTGTAGATATTCGTTTGAGGTGATTCTGGAGTACAACATCTGATATTTAGCCTTCTCACCACAAGACTTTCTCACCCATATTGTCTGCACTTTTTCCTTATATTCTTCAATATTTCCGAAAAAATTAACCCTAATTTTGAAGCCCAAATTTTAGTAAATTTTCAGTTTTTAATTAAAAATTTAGGCTACTTTTGGCCTAATCTTCTGAAGGAAAGTGCAGACTATAAATGAGACTATTTTGTGAATTTGTGATGAAAAAAGGGAACTGGTAGTGAAAAGGTTAAAATCACTTGTGGCACTTTTTCTATTAAATGTACATTGTATGAAACAGTTAATTGAAATTTTTTTTTTTTTTTTTTTTTGAGAAAGTACAATTTTTTTTATGAATCATGATTGCACCAATCACTATTTCTGGGTTGCGTTATTTGAAATTATGTCAAAATAGGCGAGGATACACTGCTCTTGTAAGAGAATCCTTTTTTTGACATGTTAGATGATCCACGATCACGCCGGATACACTGCTCTTGTAAGAGAATCCTTTTTTTGACATGTGAGATGATCCACGATCACATGATCCACGATCACGCAGGGGCACAAAGTTGACAAAATCTACTTTCAAATGAAATTAACGTAGACATTTTATTGTCAATTGTCAATCAACAACACATTTCAAACCATATACATTGTATCAAACAATGAGTAAAATTTTTAGAAGTAATGAAATGCAGAAATTTCACTTATGGGTGGGATTTCACTTATGGCATTAACGTCTAAATGAAAAAAAAAAAAATGTTTCTTGGGTAATAATTACTCCAATTTTGACCCTTAAATATATTGTTGTCAATCCCATGAAACTGAGATGTCAATTCACGTTTACATTAAAGTGATTCTTTTAAGTTTAACCCTAATATTGTCAGCTCAGTTTACTTTCAATTCACTTTCCTCACTATTATGTGATCTTGATCATTGATAGTAGCTTGAATTCTATGTTATAAATCCGAATCAAAATCAAATGACAATCACCAACATTTGAATGTGCTGAACTCTGATTATTTATTATTTATTTACTCATATTATTTACTTGTACATGTATTTATCTCAATATTTTATGCTGTTTTATTTTAATATTAATTAAATATTATATTTTTATATTTTAATTTTATATATATATTTTTTATTTTAATATTAAATATTTTTTATTTTAATATTAATTTAAAATAAATCAAAAAAAAATGTCAAATTTCATTCAATGTAGCAAAAATTGTATTCTATTCTATTGTAACCTACTCTATTCTATTCTACACTAATATGAAAATTAATTGACATTTCAGCTGAGACTTTCCTAATTTATAAAAATATAAATGATATTATTTCTTTAATTTTGTAATAAAGCTGAGCTTGACATCTATTCAGTAAAACACCATCTGTCACAGTAACAATATGACAGATCATTGATTTAATATTCATATTCATATGCAGATGTGATCTATTGAAATGATAGATTCCGATAGATGTGGTTTTATCTGTGATTCTATCTTCACTTTTTTTTTTCACAAGGACACCTTTTTTTTCTTTCGATACACCAAACAAAAACATTTAGGAATTTTTTTTCCAATACACTATGGTACGTACCTAAATTATTGGTTAGGGTTTTAACAAAGCTGTTGAAAACTTTTGATAAAAATTGAACCATGCAAAACTAGACTAGAAAATGATGAGGTGCCTATGTTATCTACTCAGTATACTTTTCGTAACCAAGAAAATTAAAAAAATAAATGCATATAACATTAAAAATACTGAGTATTTTTAGTATCATGTGAAAATTTTTTTTTATTGACTGTAATTTTTTAACATTTCGTAACGCCTATTTTAGAACCAAAATAAGGCTTTTCACTCTTCCCCGACGCCTATTCAAGAGATTGTACGGTGTATTGTTTGTTTTGTGCATGTGTTGTGGACAAAAAATGACCACGCCCATTTAGTGATTGCAATATGTACGTAATAGAAACCGCACCCCGAACTTGAGCTTTTGATCCCAATTTTTAAATTGATACATTGTAATATAAACCGTGGTTTATAATAGGACTTTAACGGTATTTAGAAGTGCACATAAATCAAATACTGTATTTTCTCTATTAGAAATACATCTGGAATAGAAGTGCACATAAACCAAATACTGTATTTTTCTATATTAGAAATACATCTGGAATAGAAGTGCACATAAACCAAATACTGTATTTTCTCAATTAGAAATACATCTGGAATAGAAGTTCACATGAACCAAATACTGTATTTTCTCTATTAGAAATACATCTGGAATAAAAGTGCACATGAACCAAATACTGTATTTTCTCTATTAGAAATACGTCTGAAATAGAAGTGCACATAAACCAAATACTGTATTTTCTCTATTAGAAATACGTCTGGAATAAAAGTACACATGAACCAAATACTGTATTTTCTCTATTAGAAATACGTCTGGAATAGATGTATACTGCAAAACCATTTATTTTCATGACATTCAATTTCAATATTTTGATGTTTTGAGCATAATAACTATGTTTTAATTTCTCAAACTTGTCAAGGAAACAACCATATACTGCATTTTCTCTATTTGTAACAAACAAATGCCATTTTGGTTCAATATTTAGTGTACATATACATGTACAAATTGAAAAATATTTGACAACAAAGACAACTCAAGAAATTATTTAAGACATTGAAAATACAAATTTACAACAAGTTTACAACCATGCAAGAAAATGTCCATTCACAATAAAAACACAGGTTTCAAACACAATGAGGGTATACATTACACTATGATGAACAGGAACTGAAAAGTTCAAAATATGGTCAAGATCTCTAATCAATATTTGCACAAAAAATGAACACTTGAAAGATAAGGACCACTGCTCAGGTGCAGACTGTAAATTTTGATTAAGATCTATATCCAATGAGGAATTATGTCTATTTAGTCCAAAATTAAAAAAAAAATTAAATAAAAATACATATAAATTTGCATATAAATTTTGGTAAAAAAAGGATGGCACGAGAAAAAGTTAATATACTGTAAAATACCGGTACTTTATTTTCGCTTGGAATTAATTTTCACTGAAGGGATGATTCAGTGAAAGTAAAATCCAGCGAATATATACCTTAAATTATTTTACAGTAAACACTTTGTAACACATAAGACTGTTTTAGGAGAATATACATCATTGAAAAAACATCAATTAAAGTTACTTTAATGTTGTACTGAAGATCATTGATTTTTATCATTTTAAGGTATCATTATACAGATGATTAAACTACAAATTAATATTACAAAATTAATTTTCAATGTAAAGCTTTGTTAATTACGATTGGTCTGCAGAGGCTCTTTATTTTTGTTTTTTTCTGAACAACATTTATTAAGTGCCTCCCTTACTACTACAGCTGCGTACTTTACATAGTACTTCTATTGCCACTACATGTATGTCTGAGTAAACATTTTAGTTGAATTAACGCCAAAGTCAATTTGTGTTAGCTTTGACAAAATATATATATATTTTTTTTAAATATGGAAATTAGTTTGAACACAAGCGTGCAATGAATGTGTGAGATATGGCTCTGGAACTATTAAACCTCATTAAAACAAAATGGCTGACATTTTGCATCTGATCTTCAAAACTAAGTTTGAAGAAATCTGTCCATACACAACTAAGATCTCAGATCAACAGAGTATTTTTAAATTATATATTTTAAGCACTAAAATGGTCACAATTCTGCAATCTTGAATTAACTGGAAATGAATATATGTCTCCTAAGATGCACAGAGGTGAACTTATACAAGTAAGTCCAAGTTATCAGACTTCGTTGAACAGGGACCAAAAATGA